GAAGTTGAATTTATATTTAAGAAACTGGGGTGTGCTATAGACTTTTCTCCACGTGATGCACCATGGGCAACGTATACTCATACAGCAGAAAAAGTCTATAAACCGGCAGTTGACTTCTGATCTCAAACTACCATGACCCCACTGTATGTCATGTTCGACCCCTTTCACAGTACTTATCTCTCCTTTTCTCTGCCTTTGTGTCTGTCTGTCTCATTTACATCTGTAAATCATTAGTCTGTCCCCCATCTCGACTTTTTGTCACTTTGATGTTCCTTCCCCTGTGTAAAGCCTGATGTCAACTAAAGGGCTAGTGATAACTATCAAAACGTCTGCCATTTAATATAATTAAATAAACATTTAAGAATCTCTTAGGTTTCCTTTACAATATACTACTCGAAACAAGAAGAAGTGCAGAATCCCAACGAACCACAAGTCAAAAATTAACATTTATTTGTACAGGGGACATTTTAGGGAACAGAGAAAGACTAAAATCGATAAATATGAAGTCGTGAGGTTGAAATATGCCCCCCTCGACGAAGAAAGGGGTTTTCAATAATCAAAAGAAGTTCAGTACGCGCAGAGCCACTTCATAGCCAAGAAAACAGGCCTAAAACAGGGAGAAGAGCGGGTCAATTTATTTTAGAAACGAAACTCAATGGATTGAAAATTCCATTGATTTACTACAATTACGCCCGGATATGCCAGCCCAATCATTGAGTAATTATTGTTTAATCAGTTCGATGTGATTTATTTAATTTTTAGAAGAAATAAAACTCTGTTTGAACTACAAGTTTCTCCTTTCTTCTTTCTAATGTTTGAGTAGTTATAGGTTAATAAAAGTAGGAACTGGGCGTTATAAAACTGCAGTGTTACATTTAATCGATGGGAGATATTCAATGACCTGAATGGGATGCATACAATTCGGTGAATAGTAGCTCGATCGGGTATATTATTGACGAGCCAGGCAACTTCTAATTAAACATAAATATTTTCTTATTAAATTAAAAATGGAACATTTGTAGAGGTACAAGTACTCTGCTTCCCAACTTCACGTCCAGATGGGTTATTAGAAATAAAGGGATTGTTGTGGATGGTGGCAATAGGTTGTTGAAGCTAGTTTTCATCGAGATAAATTAAAAAAACAAATGATCAATAAATTCTAAACTCCGTTGATAGTGCTAGACATCGAGAACTCGGAATCACAAACCCGGACAATGGACAATCAAGTTTTGATTCAACCTGTTCGAAGTGTCTTAGGTGAAATAATCCAGATCTCGGATGATCCACTTGGCGCCGCCACACCTTTAATCAAGCCATATTTACTCCTGGATGGATTGATATAAAATAAATTAATAAAAAATTAATATATAAATAGAACTTACTGCATTAGCTGGGAAAGCGCGAAGCAAAATCGGAGTAGCTCCCTTATACAACGCCAAGATGCCTTCCTTAGCCAGCAATTCGTCAAGCACGGACCTGATGCCATACGGATACTTTCCGGCTGGAGCTAAACCGCGTCAGGCAAAAAAAGTTGGCTCAAATTGTGAAATCAAATCATGATGCAATTCCAAATCATCAAAGTAAAAGTTGACTTAGGCAGTCAAAATAATGCTAACACCTTTCTATCGCTTTTCTATTATTACTCTCAAACCGATCAAGACGATTATGTGCTTTGGGAATAGCTTGTTAATAAAGTCAATGAAATTTAAAATAAAAATATACCAACCTGTTTGAAGACGAGACTTTAAAACATCTGGAGGAATAGCGACCAGCCAATTAAAAATACCAGCCATCCCACCAGCAAATAAAGTGTGATGAGCACTAAAATCAAATTCATTGAAAGTACAAAGCTCAATGTTTAAAAAGCAAAAAAGATGAAATTGGGTGAAAACAAAGATATAAACTGACGCCATATTTCCGGGCCCGAAAATTTCTTTGATCCATTCGTAACTCAAAAAGAACATGCCGGAAGCAGGAACATCTATAAATTGTAAGAATTAGGATGCAATGAAGATATACCTCTTAGAAGCGTTGCAACACTTCCCTTGTAAATACTACGAATTCCACCTTCTCTGTACAGCTGTTTAATAACATCCAGTGGACCGTGATATTTAATATGAGCATCTTTGGTTTGAATCTGCAGAAAGTGGCAAGTTTTCATGTTTTATATTCCGATTTTATAGATTATTTATCCACTTCACGAACCTGCAGCAGGCATTTTATACGCTCCCCTGGAGCCATCAAAATAGTAGTGAATACGCCAGAAAACATGCCAGCGCAAAATAGTTCAGGTTTGCTTCATTCATATACATTTAATAAATGGAAACAGCCTACCTGATCTTGTTAACATCTTTTGCGAAAACACTTTTTCCAACATTGAAACCAAGGAAGCAAACAGCAAAGAGTGGCATAGCACCGATTAAGGGAGCAAGCATTCCCTTGTAAAGACCACGAATGCCCTCATTTGTAACGGTTTTGCAAGCGCAATCAAAAGCGTCCCGATATAGGGGGATTTGATTAGGTCCAGCATGCGGCATCGTCTGCAAACGAACCTTTATAGTATCAAAAGGATGTCCGGTAATAACTGTACACATGCCACCAAATCCACCAGCCAAAAATGACTTCACATGGCTGGATTTGGGCTGATGCTCAAATTCATCAAGCATTCTTTCAGAAAATACATGAGAGAAAAGACAATGCGCTAAATAACCTTGAGTGTACTCCCAATTATAGTAGGGAGCGAGGATGGGAGTAAGTATGAATAAAGATATTATGGCACATTTGAAATCAATAAATAAAAAAGTAAGCGACACTAATGGGAAGATATTTGTAACAATTTATTTAACAACTACTTTAATGTTCTGTGTATTTTAAAATATTCATAGTTAAAGAATTCAAAGTTTTAGAAGGTTTCATAAAGGAACATATTTTATTTATTTTTTTATATCAAATGGCAGGCATTTTGATAGTTATCATTAGCCCTTTAGTTGACTTCAGGCTTCACAGAGGGGAAGGAACATCAAAGTGGAAAAAGTATTGGGGGAGGGGGGGACAGAAGAGTGATTCAAAGATGTAAAAGAGACAGAAACAAAGTTAGAAAAAAGGTGAGGTGAGTACCGTGTAAGTAGTCGAATATGACATACAGTGGGGTGATGGTGGTTTGGAGTCAGAAGTCAACTGCCGGTTAATAGATTTTTTGCCGTAGGGGAATATGTTGCCCAGGGTGCACCACGTGGAGGTAAGTCTATCACACACCCCTCATAAAGGAATATTTATTTGATGGAAGGTGTTATCTGAAATCTAGTTGTGCCACATTTGACATTGATGTTTGAAGAAAATACGTAAATTATAAAAGTTTGCTTAGTTTGCGTGTTTTTTTATAATTTTATTTATTATACACTCGAATTAATTTACTATTTTACCTCCGAATATTTTTGTGACCAGAAATCATGATGGAGTCTTTATGCATACTTTGCAATTCTATCCAAAATGTTAGTTCAAACGCTCAATTTGAGATATCTATTAAAATTGTGCTAAATTAATACAAAATTTAAGAAAAAGAGTAACCGGCGATTTTACTTTGGATAAAAAACTAACAACAAAACAGATTTAAATGCATAATTCGCATAACTCTTCTCTCAACTTAAATGAGGTTATATGCTAAAGAAAACAAGTTCGTAAAATGTAATTGTGGTGAAGAATAGAGCAATCAAATATCGATTAATTCAAGGAAGCTAGAAAAATATTATGCCATTATTTTCAGAATTATTGCGAAAATTGTGGAGTTTCGAAATAAAATGAAAACTTTGTTTATAGCAATTTGTAGGCCTTATGATAGTAAGCATTAGCTCTTTAGTTGACTTTGGGCTTCACAGTTTGGAGGAACATTAAAATCACAGAAAGTCGAAGGGGGAGGGAGAACGGAAGAGTAATTCACACATATACGAGAAACAGACACAAAGGAAAAAAATAACGTAAGGCGAGTACTGTGGAAGTGGTGAAATATGACACACAGACAGGTCATGGTAGTTTGAAGTCAGAAGTCAATTAACGGTTTATAGACTTCATTGTAGTATGAGTATGCGTCGTCAGGAGTGCACCACATGGGGGTAAGTCTGTCGTACACCCCATCAGAGGAAAATTGACATGAAAAAATTTAGGAATTTGGTTTTCACTTTAAGAGGACCTTAATGATGTAGGTAATATAATGATTAGCAATTTGAGAATGGGTTCTAGGGATATATTATCTACACTGTAAACGAGAAATATATTCTCATTAAAACATATTTAATAAAGTTTGTACAAGATGAAATGCTCTTTCGTTTAAAATTTAATTAAAGAGTGAGTTTTCTTCGGTATATATTTGTGTGAGTATAATTCTAAAATTTCTACCATCCATTATTTGTTTAAAAGGGTCAATTCAAATGCACATTGAAGGGCGCATATTATAGTCATTCTCAACTGTGGTATTTGCTGCTCGTTGCTCCTCTCCTTGTAAGTTACTTTTCTTATCATAATTATGTTTTATTAAAAACTGTCTTGCCAAGATGTTTTTTTTTAAACTTGCATAAGGTTTTCAATTCGTGTATAGTATTTTATAACATGCTTTTTACTTATGTGCACATATTGTAATCTGATGTGCATTTATAAACGTACAGGTTGCTCCTTTGAGTCCCTTTTTACGATTATGTCTAATCAGGTATTTAATGATTTTCTGAATTTAGCTTCTTTTTGAAGGATCTAGTTTTTCACATCGTGTCTGCATAATTTAATTTATCTTTTTTAGCAACTTTTTTTCGTTTTGTTATTTATTCAAATATTGTCTTTGTTTGGAACCTTTACACTCTCTATTGAAAGAATTTTATTTCTTTTCGGTCAATATTTTCATTTCTTATGAATCTTACTTGAATACCTGATAGTTCATGTGGTTATTTATACTTTCTATTTTTTACAAATTTCTACCCTTTTCAAAGTCGTATTTTAGTCAACCGTTTATAAAATTTTATTTTTTTATTTTTATTACTTTACGGTTCCCATTGTATATTCTCTTTTGTTTCGAATGTTTTGGTCTTTGTTATCTCTGAATGGATTTGGGTTGCTATTTGTCTATGGGAGTCTATTTTCTACTTGTGCTAATGCTTAGATATTTATGTCTAAGTTTAGTACATTTCACTAGGCGGTAACAAATGTTCGGTGGTTTCATCAGTAATTACATTTATATCGCTTGATTTTCAACGACTTTACTAGCAGAACTAGTTAACTGTCCAGCTACATGCTCTAGTAGAGCTTGAAAACGAGCGAAATATTTGCTTACTCAGAGCTCTTGGTCGAAAATTTATTTTAATTCAATTGATACTAGCAATATAGGAAATGCGCATTCTTGCATTTACACGTATTCACTAACCGGACATACGCGCACTAAGGCGTGGGGTGCGTGTGTGTATAAATCCTTTCTTCCCATCCCCTGAGTTTCCCTTTTGGCTCGTTGCCAGACATTTAGTCGATTTCCATTTTATTATTTTAGCATGCCCTACAATGTCTGAAACAAGTGCCGAGTCTCTTCGGGTACCCCCTGTTCGTCCTCCTTCATGTATCTCCATGCTGGCCGAGCGTCTCAAGTGCTCCAACTTGAACGATCTCGGATTTGACTGTTCAGAGGCCCGATTTATGCGCCGCTCGACGCGACGTCCCAAGGCAGTTAACTTTTCTAATGATGAGATTTGTGACATTATTCCCAATATAAGCCAACAGCGATCTTCGACGACTTCATCGGACGTAGATGGTAGCCCTATTACCTGTGATTCGGGCAATGAGGACTCCTCTGAGAGCTGGGTAAGCTGAAATTTAATTGGCGTGTACGAGGGAGAAATGGCACGAGATGGAGCTAAGCGAGGCTAGTCGCTACACGCATACATGGAGCGAGCCAAGTGCGTACGTACCTTCGTATTTGGTTCGCGCACTCAGTTCGTTGGCTGCTGTGAATGCTATGCGTCACGTGCAGATGCAGGGTTGGTAGTGCGTCCGCACCGCACGTGACGCATCGCCTCTCTAACTTGCATTTCGCTTGAGTGCTAACGTGTGTGCGCGTAGTGCACTCGTTGGTCCATTTGGCGTGCTGCCAGCTATGGTTGTGCGCACGTTATCATCAATGTTTTGTCCTTGCCAATTCTACTCCCATCTAATTTAATCTCGCAAACACATATATAAAATGAACTTATGTAGTTAGTAAATGGTTGGGGCTTATCTCTACTGTTTCAACACTGATTTAACTTAGTTAATTCTTGATCGGTTATAGTTTTTTTTTCACATTCCCTTGCAAATTGGATCCAAACTTCGAATTGGTCTTTATTGCCAGCTAAGAAAAGGTCGATTAGGCCTATTGAATCCGCATATGTCTTTCTTCTGGTCTTTCGGTAATAGCGCTTTGGATTTATTTGTTGAATCATGGGTTCATTAAACAAGTTCTTTTATTACTGGTTGATTTGGCACAAAAAGGCTTTTCGAAATTTATTTTTCGGCTTTGTATTAGGTGGATATTAAGTAGGCTTGGTGAGAAGATTTCTCAAAACAGTTGTCATAAAGCAAGCTATTAGTTAGCTTTGGCTTAAGTTAGTCCGTTTTAGTCGCATTAGTAGATATCATTAGCACTGTTGTAGAAGGTACGTAGTTTGGGTACAGTTTCTCCAAGTTCAGTGGTTGTAGCCTTAAGTGGACCTTCAAACTCGGTATATGAAAGGGACTAACGTTTTGATTTTGCTCCCCTCTTCTTTTAGACTGGTGGAAATTTTTTACTTTCCTCATCGTCTCGAGCTCCCGATGGCTTTTCTTTTGGACCTAACTCTACCTCGTCCTATCAACCCACTCTCCAACATTGCTGTAAGTGTCAAACAGAGATTACTCTTTTCTCAAGCGGGCATTAATAGCAGAACACGCGTGATGTGTGTTTGTTTGTTTGTTTTGAAAGCGTAAGAGGGCGTAGCACATTTTTCGGGCTAGCAGACAACGCGTGCACACATCGCTGCCGCTGCGTCACTCACCACGGCGAATGGTCGTGAGTCATCGCCGCACATCCATGATTGACTCTTCATCGTATGTATGGGTCTCCTCCCCTTCCCCCCCCCCTCCCCCCCTCCCTCTTGGCATTTACACAGCTAATATTTGCTCTGTGTGCGTGTTTGCGGAACTTTGTACGCGTGACTGTTCTTTGACGCGATGCGTGCTCGCCTTGACCTCCTAAAGGCTCAAATCCATTAAGTAGACTGATTAAGAAATCATGCTCTATGGACTTTCAACAGGTGCAAATTTTTTATCGTGGGGAAACATTCGAATGCATGTCACACTTAAAGTTTATTTATACCAAATGGCAGGCGTTTTGATAGTTATCATTACCCCTTTAGTTGACTTCAGGCTTCATAGAGGAGAAGGAATATCAAAGAGAAAAAAGTCGA